TTGCATGGTGGAGATTTGAGATTTCCTTGCAGCTCCCCTGATGTGAATAAAAGCTTTCAGTGCTTATTTGACGAACATGAGGTGTTTTACCAGGCCGTACAGTTGATTTCTTTACATGTCACATATTTTGGGAAAGTGCATACTTTATATCGTTATTCATATTTGTATAGCAAGTAATGTTTTTGATGTTTGAACTTAGTTTCGTAACATTGTTTTCGGCATCATTTTGCCAAGTGAAATATTGCATTATGAATTACGTCATTATTTTTACAAGGCACAAATATCTTACTTATGATTTGGTTTCTTAAGACTATGATTTGATATTCCGATTTTATTATTCAACTTATCTACCTTACGCTTGTTTCCCATCTGCAACCTTGCTCACGGAGCCGATGATCACTGAGTCCGTGAGACTCACCCGTTTATTTTCCTTTTGCAGATAGTGATCAGCCTAGCGTGCATTCATCGGTAATTTCAGTCCACCGCGGATAGGTAAAGGCATCTCATAACACTTTATTTCGAGTCACTCCGCTATTAGAGGTCGAATCTTCATAATGTAAATTATTATGAAATTAGACAGTTGTGTCAATGCAAATGTACATTTGGAGATTATAAGTTTTGATGTATTATCCTTTATGATTATGTGGAATAAAGATTTATTCAATTTATAAAGATCATTATTCAATTCTCTTTACAAAGAGTTTTATTAATCGAAATAATTTTATAGATTGATGGTATGAATATGAGGTAATGACTAATGTTTTAAGTAAGGCTTGTTCGAGACTTGGTGGGTTCCCCAGCGAGACTCAGACGCCGGTAACGATCAAGGAGCGATCGTTATAGAGACCCCTAAGATAACGAACTATAGTTTGCTCTTCAAGTTCATGACATCGCACTTCATGTAAAGTTGTTCAAACTCTATTGTCTATTCTTCCACATACATTAATTTTTGCCTCAGGTTATAAAATTTGATAAAAATTTCTTATCGGTAATGCTCAGGAAGGAACTTACGCATGAATTCTTGACGCATCTTATCTCATATCTTGATCGTGTTGTGACCTTCTTTTTCTAGTTGTCGTTTGAGATTTTTCCACAAAATTGAGGGAAGCTTCTTTCATTTAATTGCAACAAGCTTCACACGTTTTTCATCAAGAATATCCTTGAGCTTAAAAACTCTTTCGACTGTTTAGAGCTAGTCAAAGAAGTCATCAGAGTGAATTCTTCCTTCAAATTTAGAAATGTCGACTTTGATTCCCAAGTCTTTGGTAGCAACGATTTTCAGTTGATGTATAGGTATTTCATCATTAGAGGACATATTTTGATGGAAAAGGTTGATTTCATCCTCTTCATTACTAGATCTGCTATTATTGATTCAAGAAACATCATGTCTTGTGAGTTGCTCTTGTAATTCTTGAATTTGATGACGTAGTTCTACAATCTTGAACTTATGATCATCTTTTTGATGACTTTAGCGTCTTGATGACATTTTATTTTATGGTGATGATGATGTTGTGACGGACACCAATCATGGCAAAGTTAAATACCCCACTAAGGTGAATCACCAATCTTTGCAAGATTGAAAACCCCACTAAAGTGAAAAATAGCCAAAATCTCACTTTGATTTACCCTTAATTAATTTTTATAATTACTATTATATTATTTTATTATTATTTTTCTTAATTAAAAATAACTCCCCATGAGGAGCACCGAAGCTCCCCAAAGGAGCCCTTGTCAGAGCTACCCATCTAGGGAGCACTAGGTGCCCCCCTTCCTTAAGAGCATTGGTGCTCCCATCTTTTGGCCGATCAATACTCTTTTTTTTAATTTTTTAATTTTTAAAATTTTTTAAAATATAATAATAATTTTTTAAATTAATAAATAAAAAAAAACATTTTAGTCTTTTTACAACTTTTATTAACGATGTTTGTGCTCTTAGGGCAAAGTGTTTATTTTGAAAACTAATGGACCTCCGTATAATTTAAATCAAAATTTATGGAGGTCAAGGTATTTTACCTTTATGTTTATGATGATCTATGCTTATGTATGTATGACGATGATGATGCCAAATGAGTCTATTGTGATTAAATGATGTTTGAATGATGTAAAAAGACTTGCTAAGGTCTAATGGGCCATACACATGTAGCTTTTAGTGTCGATCACGATCCCTCTAGAAAATGGGATATGACATCTATCCTCCATTCTCAAGGTGGCATCTAACCATCCACACTAGTTGTTGGTATATACCCTTAAGCTAATTAGATTAGTCAAGAAATATTTATTATCATTTAATGCATACTTAATCATATAACTATATATGATAGAGGCTTTCCTTCATGTTTGTGCAATAATATTAGATACTAATTGGATAAAGCTCATGGAGAAAAAAGACCTTGTAAGAGAATTGTAAATTTGTTACAATTATGGTATCATTATGCATCAAAACCATGTTCCTAAAATTGTTCTTAGTCCTTGCATTGTCAAAATAGGGCATTGAAAATGCTTAAAGATTGGTAGATGTTAAGCCTTCTTACTTGGGAAGTAATCAATCGATCTCATAGACTAGAGTATATGGGATACTTGAGGATAACATGTGGGTGCTTATTAAAGAAAAAGTTCATTGAACATGACTTGTTATGAGAACTCCATTTGACATTTCATTTAAGTGTCTATGGAATATGTTCTTATGTGATAGTCGTGCAACTAGTCCTTGAACTTGAGACACTAGGTCATCTCGTATCCGAATTGACATTCTTTGATTTCACCCTTTCGAGTTTAAAGGCGATCAAGTGCCTAAACAGAGTGGTTTTAAGTATGCCATGAAACATACGAAGGTGGATGGGTGGTCAAGAGAAGATTCATCATTCCAAGTGATATGAGAGAATATATCTCACTTGTTCTCAATTCTAAATTAACTTATATAAAATCTTTGACTAAAGTATGATAAATTTAAGCAAAGTTAGTTTCCTAAATTCAAGAAGTTAGTCATGAATTATGAGAACTAATATGAAATGTTATAAGTAGACACTGAGCCATGCTTTATAACATATTTAAGATATTTGATGAAAAAACTACATTACACTGAAAGGCTTATCATTGAAGGGCTTTGTCAAATTCTTTAATTGATTTTTTAACATTTGGATGGTCATGATGTGTTGCTAGATACCACTCATGATCTATAAATATAAATCAATTATCAAATTGACATTTAATTATGATTTATATGTATTACTAACATATAAATTTCGAGCTTTAACATAAACGCCAAGCATGATTTATCACCTTGATTAACATAAACGATTTCAATGCCATATTGATTTCAATAAATCTAAATGTTTGAGCACAAATGTTTTCAATGAAGTTTTTGAACCTATTATGAGAATATCTCTACTACATATTAATTTTCAATAAGGACAAGCTCTTTTAAATTTTTTCATTCAAATTTCCTATAATGGATATATGAGGTACAATTAATGTATGGTTAGGTGAATGCCTAAGTTGAGTAGATACCCACCTATAATAATATGGATGTGATTGTTGAATAGCCCACCATTCTATATGTGCTAGTGCTAAGATTTGACCTCATGCTCAATCATGTCACTTAATGTGTGTGAATCATTAGACTTTCCTAAGCTTCGAGTTGCCAAAATCTTACTCGTCTAAAATTTCGAGCTTTAACAATCACCTAGCACAATAAATCCTATCATGAGTCTCCTAGTTTCTAGCAAAACCCATTTCCAAAACTAGTCGAGTAATCGAATATCCTTTGTTAAAATTCCAATAAGTTTCCAAACTTTAAACCAAAACCATATATTAAACAACTTTGAGTATCCTCACTTGCATAACCTTTTTGAAGAATCAAAATCCCCAAAATCCTTGGCTCAATAAAGGGATAATATGTTGAAATTCGTAGAAATATAAAGTTATGTTATAATCATAAGTTTCCAATCCAAAAATGCTAAATCTTATCTTAGATTCAAGTTTGGAAGGTTAGATCTTTAATAGATGGGTTCTTAAGAGGTTGTGAGAGGGTTTAGGGCCTACTATGGACTAATTTTAGACTAAATGAATGAACAATAAAAAAAATGACTTGAGTTAAGGCTTATATTTTTTTTCACTAAACCTTAAGGGATATTTTTTTATAATTGAGAGGAGAGATTCGAACTCTACTCTTTAAGTAAGAGGATAATGCATCAATCAATAAGCCAAAATGCTCGAGTGCTCTTTAACCTTTAAAGGTTGATCCTCAAGCTTTTATTTTCTACCAAGTTGTTGGGGATCAACCCATTAACCTCAAGTTGGGGGTCGATCTTTGGTATTTCCAGAAGTTATTCCAAATGTTTGTTAAGTAGGGATTGATCCTCCCTTCCTCAAGGATCAATGCTTGATACTTCCAGTAGCTAACTTGACCCATAATACCTCTAGGGATCGATCATCCACAAATATGACACCACATTTTGAAGAATTTTAACATCAAATGGTTGGAAAACCCATCCAATTATCACAACCAAAATATAGTTCATAAAAGGTTTATATTTTCTAAGTTCTACATAATAAAAAATTAAAGTTTCACAATTTATAACACTATTAGGTTTGGTTGAGGTTAGTATAATCACTACGTGTTAGTATAAGTGCTGCAAGTACACAAGTTTGTAAATTATAAGATTTAAGTTTGTAATGGCTCATCTCACAAAAGTTTTGCAAAAGCTGATAATTTCATTAGTTTAGTAATATATATTATGTAAAAGAGATCCACATACAATAATATAATAATAATTTTAAATTTTAAATTATTTCATATGATTTATAATTTATTCACCTAGTTCATGCATTCCAAATTTGACATTAATAGAAAATACCTATTCATTTTAACTATGAAACACATTTTCAAAAAAGATTAATATTTTCAATCGATTTGATGCATATGAAATTGACTTAAAACTTTATGTGCACAACCGATACAAGTCTCTCCCTCCAAAACGAGTACATAAACAAGAAAAAGAAAAGCTAACTAAATTCTTCCATAGTTTATGAAACCAAACATAGGAAATAACCTATTGAATGATGCATCATACAACAACATATAAACAGCAAAAGTCAGCACACTGCCGATTTTTCTGTCAAGTTTCATGCTCGAGAAATATTAGTAGATTGCCAAGAAAAACTTTATAATCATAAATTTTCAAAAAAAATTATCTGAGCAGAAAAGAATAAAATTCCATTATGACATGGACAACTTAAGTTTGACTGACATAAAGAACAGGAACCAACCCAGCCATTTTACCATCCCGGCCGGGCCTTTTCTTCTTCACCTGCAGCAAGTATGGGAAATCAGTACCTTAGCCATACCACAAACTTCTCAAGCATAATAGTCTACTTCATATTTAAGCTAGTTATAGCAAAGATAAGACAATATTTGGAATGGTACGAAAGGAAAAGGAAAACAAAAAGTCAAAATTTAGCAGCATGTACTCCATAACGGAACCATTAAAAGATATTAGACTATCTAATATCTAACCATGGCCATAATTGAAAGCTTCTCTTTTAGTACTTACATAAAACCATCCATCAATTTCGTACTCAATCTCAACCTCTTCTCCAGTTGTTAAACTCAACTGCAATCAAGGAAACCATGAATTAATTTTCTGCAGATAGGCATCCAAATCAAATAGAGATGATTGACTTATAGCAGCAAGATTAATACTCAGATAAATCACATGGCAAAAACCTATTTAATTCAAACGTCTACACAGCTATATAACAAAATCTTAATACACAACTTCCCACAGAAACTGAAAGAACTAAAAGCAGGTTTCATGCTGAAACACACGCAAGCACAACTGTTGAGAACAATGAAATATAAGTTCTAATTTGAAGACAAATCCCAGGTAGCAAAAAGTCAACTTACCTCATCATCTCCACCAGCACTGAAATCATACAATGCTGTCCCAAATTGCGGATTTCCAGAAGACAAGCGATCATCATCCTGGGATTCAAAACCCTGGGACCCACGCCCAGCTAAGGGATTCTCAAATGACTCATACTGTTCCCTGCCAGGTGATGTGTATGGTGGAGGCTCTTCTCTAATCTGAGAGTGTCTGATGAATTAGAACTAAACCATAAATCAGCAGATACATTAATAGATTGCTTAGGCAAAGGAACACTTACAGGAGAACCAAGGCCCTCATACATAGATGAAGGATTGCTAAATCTGCTTCCCCCCGATCTCTCCTGCTAGAGAAATTGAGCCATGTCAAAATGGAAAAATGATAAGAACAACCACAATGACAACAGAAACAGTTCATTTCACTTCGTTAACTATTAACAAGCAGAGTTCTTGCTACCAGAACAACGCACCCAGCTCCATGAACACGCACATGCACCAATAAACAATTTTGTACCTTACGTCAAGCAGCAATCACGCTGTAAATGCATTGATAGTCTTCAATATATATATGCTTGCAAGAGTATCTGTTAGCGCAGACAGTCCCATTCCCATTTGAGCTGAGCTCTATATAGTTGAAAATTATGACACTAAGAAGGGTGGCCAATTGTAGCATTGTCAGGGGCTTACCCTACCCTTTGTAAAGGATGCGCTGCCCTTACATTTACTTGAATTACTACTATGAGTATAGTATCTTACACAGGAAAGAGAGCCCTTAACAGTTAAGGCAGGAACTTAGAAATTTCAAGGGGGCACAATGCTACCAGCTGTACTGTAACATCACTAATGAATAACTAAAAACAGAAGCATGCATTAACCTTCCATGTTATTTATATTACCACCTCATAATTTGATTATGTAACACATCGCTTTTATATTAAGACATTGGAAATCACTCTTTGTAGCTTAGTCTAAAAATGATTATATAGTTGGAAAAGAATAAAGGTTTCATTGAAAATCAATACATAATAATCATACATAATTAATCGTTTACTTTGGGCCATATATATTAAATTGGACATAAGCTTTTCTTTCAAACAAAACAATTATCTTAACAGCAAATTAAGGGCATATCTAATAGTAGAGGGAAGCATCACTTTATAAAATCAAAGGATAGTACAATCAAATAGGCATACTCATCAGCACTAGTTTCTAATCAACCCATGAATAAATAAAAAAAATCAAGTGGCTGTTGCTTAAAGTTAGTAGGTAACCCATCCTTCCAGAAACTAGAATGAATGAATGGCTACTTCTACCCTATGTATATCAAAAGAATTACTGGATCATCTAAACACTGGTCCAGCTTACACTTACAGAAAAAATTATGCACCTAAATTCAATAGCCATATATTATTGAAATAGAATATTGACTGCATTATATATACCGCAGGTTGTGAAGCCCCATAAGTAGTTGGCCGTGAACTGAACAATGAAGGATAGCTCATTCCACCAAAGTGGGATGATATGGAAGTTTCAACTGATCCGGTTGACTCCGGAGAAGATGATCCTGATGATCTGACATCGTCTTCCTGCATTCAGATAGCCACTGAAAGAGTCAAATATCTCAAATAGCTAGGAAGTGTACATAGTTCAAAAGTCCAACTCAACCTATACCAACCAACTTCAGAGGGATTTGGCAGAGTTCATACCTCCATTTCTGTAGTCTCCAAAAGTGTCTTGGCCCACATATCGTCGTAACTAACAGAAGGTCTGGAGATAATGTTCTCCTCATCAACATCTGGAGCATCAGTTCCAGCACCAGCCAGAAATTCATTGACCTAGCATACAGTAGAGATGACGTGAACCTCACTTGGAACATTAGTTGTCACGACTAAAAAGATATAGTTGCATTGGAATTTCTCTTCACAACAATAGAATTAAGCCTCATTTGCTCCTGAAAAGTAACATTGGAACTTCTCTCTCGACACAAACATTATTACACAAGAAAAACTTTTGTAGATCATCCTCAGACCTACGTGAGACTGTTTAGAGTGTGTTCTGTGCAGTTCACAATTAAACATAATATAGGCTAAAGATATCACACCTTTTATTGGTAAAATTAGATATAAAAATGGAAATAAAAAAGAATGGCGCAAGCTTTAATAGCAGGGTCAAAACCATCCAAAAAATGAGCTTGACCATTTAAATGCAAGAATGGTACTCCATAAAACCTAATAGGCTCCTATCATGTTTGGGAGGTAATGCATCCCCACAGATATCAAAGGTCCCTTCCAAATTATCAAAGCTCACAAGCATAAAAACAGTTTATGATAACACCAAGAATGCTCTCTGCCAAACGATGAACTAGAATAGTAATGGAGAAGCATCGAAGAATTTGCTATGTTACAACCTATAGTAAATAATTATGTTTTAAACTTTAATTAAGGTAAATTAAATACACTATTTCAAGTTTTTCCACATAAAATCCTTTTTTTTTTTTCACTTTTAGCATCCATAGGGTTCAGTACCAATCCCAAAGTTGGTTACGTTGTTAGTTTTATCCTATAAAATTACAAAAATACCTCATGTCATGGTCCACACCAACTTGCAAAGTATTGTCCGCTTTGGCCTAATGTTATCTCACGAAAGGTGCCTCACAAGTTGAAGCTGGTGTGAACACTTAAATATTCAAGTCTTACCCTAGTACACAATTGATGTGGATTTCATCGCTCTCCTCTAGGACCATGCCATCCTCCCCGATGTGGGATTCATGGCGCCCCTCTGGAATCGTGACGTCTTCCCCCATTCCAACAAGGACCCACTGTCCTCAACGGCACATTGCTAGTACCCCACAGCCGGATCTAATACCATCATGGTCCACACCAACCTGCAAGGTATTGTCTGCTTTGGCCCATTGGGCCTCACGATTTTGTCCCGCAAAAGGCACCTCACAAGTTAAAAATAGTGTGAACACTTAAACCCAGTCTCACTCCAGCACACAGCTATTGCGAGATTCATGGCTCCCCTCTAGGACCATGACATCTTTCCTGATCTATTATTCATGGCTATCCTCTAGAACCATGACATCACATTCAAAAAGTATTGTTCTCATTCACCCTTAAGGGCATTCTTACAACTTTTCAGGTGAAATTAATGACATAATCCCCTTTGGGAACAGAACTGGATCCTAAGGTGCCAAATGTGGTGAAAAATATCACAAAGGTGTCAAATAGGAAAACTTTAAACCAGAAGCAGTGCAAGTGTAATTTACCCTTTAAATTAAATGGTTGGGTGCCTCATGTGTAACCTTTTAGCGAGTTTGGACTAGCAAGGTTAGATGAGGATTATTTGTCATCAAAGGCTAAAACTAAAAAGCTGCTGTAGCCTAGCATATACGCCATTTAGGCTCAATTTCAGTAGCCATATTATTTTGTTTGTACCATTCACTGGTTCTACAACACTAATATTTCTCCTTGAACTTCAATTCTATATCAATTTCAGCCACATTTCTATTTTAATACCTCCTACTTCCCTACTACATCAAGTACCTTCAAAGAAGTCCCTCCCCAGTAAAACTCAGCACTCAATTTCCTGTTAAGTTGGAACTTGAAACAGCCACGCTCGTTATGCATGAACAGCGTAACAACACCTACCCGTATACATATTGAGGGAGATGGTTATTGGGTACTTAAAGGATCTTTACAGCAAGGATTGTGCACATACCACCAACAAAAAATTTGGAAATGTTGACTGCTGAACTATTTTAGCCCGACCAACCAAAGCAGCTTTGTTTTAGTGATTAGCAGCACTAGTAAAACACTTGATTCCTTTATAATTTCTCAGGTTCTAGTATAAAAGTAAATGACCATATCATGCAAACAAGAGCTAATGAATATGTCAATTCAAACTCAATGTGGAGACTCCCCTTAGTTTTTGCTTCTTCACATAATACTGGATTACATAAACCGATACTACGTTCAATTCTCAACTCTTATACGGAACACATCGGAGAGATATCAAGAACTTGTCAAGAAGTAATAAGAGCCTCCAGAGGTTATCTAAATGAAAACCATTTCCTAAGCAGTATTTTGGTGTTTGGTTACTGCATAGTGGATTCTTCCAGATGGTAGTCATCATTTTGTACAATGAAGCACAATCATTTTAAATATTATTTATAGTTTCAATCCTCAGAGAGCCTTCCAATTGATCTGTGAAACACTTTTTCTCCAACATAAATTACTGATCCTTATAATATTTAGTCCTGTGAATCTGCCTCACATACAGTTGTACATTTCCCCCTCCCTTCCTTCCTCCCATCCCCAAAGGCCCCCAACTAGGTGTTTCAATTCAGAATCATAATTCTTAAACAGAAGCATGCTAGAATCAAAATCAAATAAAGTATAGTTTCTTACCCTGTTTAGTGCCGGGACATCACCAAGGTTGACTGCCCAAGCATTTACTAGATCATCATCGAGTGTATCAGATTCAGTAGCAGCCGGTTTAGATTCATAAACAAGATCAGAAATTCCAGTGGCAACAGCTGGATCACTCAAACCAGTTGATGCACTAATATTATGCCGTGTACGGTATATGTCAATAAGTTTCGCACTTCACAAAGATTAGAGGGGAAAAAAGAACCGTCAGAAAAACTTGACTTTCAAATAGAATGAAATACCATAAACATGAAAACAGAAGCATATGATGAATTTCAAGTTGTTCAAACAAGATACAGTCTTGTTTTTCCTTTACCACTACAAATAAATGTAATAGGTTTTACCTTATTGGCCCCAAAGGGAGATACTTCGCTCGTGGAACATAACAAAACAGTGAAACAAGATCCAGCAGCCTCTCATGGGTTTCATATAGTTTCTTAAGCTCTTCATCTTTCCATTCCTTATTTACATTATCATGGTTGCGTATTTCCCTGATTATGGACAATAGGAACTCATTCATCTTTATGAAAGGAAAGGAAAATTGCCATTAAGCAGGAAAGTTTTACACTCATACTTGATCAAGTCATCTTGTGCTCTATACATTTCATCAAGAACTTTGATCATTGGAGTAATTAGAACTCCGAGCCCTGTACCACTGGCTCCTTGATCTTCTCCATTACTAAGATGCATTTCTGATAATTGAGACTGTACACCACCCTGTGCTAAGGCATGCAAAAATTCATAGATCTGTAGCCTAAAGGGCTCACCAGACCGGATTGCTACTGTTGTAAGAGCTTGAGCAGCAACAATGCGAACCTAAGACGTCCATATGAATCAAACAGAATACAGAAACTTGGAAATTAGAGCAACATCACATGTAGTACCTTACATGATGAAATAAATTTCAATGATAAGGAATGACAGAAGCCATTGCCATCATAGCCAAAGCAAAAGATTACCAAGGATCACATCAAAAAATTTAATGCTCATGTCAATCAACAAAAACTAAAGAAAGTTGCAAGATTCCAAAAGTAATTATTTACAATGAATAGTTTTACTGTCACATGTCATAGAACTTTCATTTTATAAGGCAACCTCTCCAGCAACAAAATGAAAATTATATAAATTTGTCTCCTAGGCTCTACAGTGACTCACTTCTAAAGATCAAGAAAGTCGAAGATACACCATTTCTAGCAAAAATGGGGACAACTGTAACCAATTCAATAGTCTACACAGAGCAAGCTGGAGAAAACATAACCAGGACAACAAATTCTTCACAGCCCTTCTCCAAATAGCTTATTGCCTGACTAAGCTTAGGGCAAACAGCGACAACATAAACAACACACTAGAACAACCATTATAGCCAAAAAAAGTTTAAATACTCAAAGAAAGCTACATCAGGGGTTTCATGAAGGTAAGATGAGTTATTCAGACTTTCCATTTGCATTTTAAGATTATGATAGTTAAGTTAATGTCTAAATTGAAATGTTTTTTTTTTTTCAAAATTTTGTAGCTATTGATATGAAGGTAAAAGTTACATAAATATTTTGTGTTAACACTTCATCTAAAACAATTTTTATTAAAAAAAGTTAATTTGAGCAGGGTGGCTTGGTTGTCTAGGTGGGTGGGATGGGTGCGGCAACCCCCGCGCTTGCCCTGCTCCATTGCCATCCTTAATATTCTAACAAAACCAAGATGATCCATCAGGTTGACGCCACACAAGCTACTGTCTTTGATGCATGATACAAAGAAACTAATTGAGGTATTAACTTACTTAAAATTTTCATTTGTTATTATGCTGTATTTTACTGGTTTAATTGTAATTTTTTTTAGGTTTAGGTTTGTATTTAGTATTTTACATTTTGCATTAGGTTTTAGTATCTTAGGGTTTTCCTTATCCCATTAGGTTTTGCTAAGAGTTAAGTATGTTAGTTTTCTATTTTCAGACACAAATATTTAATGAACTGCTAATGTGAATAGGAGTTCTATTTCTTTTAGGATTAGGGAGGATAAGAAAACCACAAGCATGTGCAATAAGCTTGTGATGTGCAACGATGTAGAAACTGGATTGTGATGTGCAACAATGTAGAAAACCCAAAGATTTGTTTGGATTGGGGAGGGAAATGGAAGGAAATGGAGGGGAAATGGTACCTTTTCCTTATAAAACTTTTAATAGAGGGAGTTAAGACTACATATACCCCTCCAAAATCCTCCAAATTTCATTTTTATTTTTAAACCTCAACTTATTAAAAAGAAATCAATTTATATAAAACAATATTTCCCTTATTTTACTATTTCTTTTTAGCATATAAAGCAGATAATTGTTGAAGGGACACAATAAGCTGTCATTTCTTTCCCTTAAAACTCTTTAATCCAAAAAGGCTAGGAAGACAACCATCCCTTCCCATTTCCTCCTTTTTCAGTAATCCAAACAATAGGAAACTTATCTTACCTTTGCACTCTTTTCCTGTCCTTCCAATTCCATTGATTCCCTTCTTCTCTTAGTTCCCACCATAAGCTAAGGCTAAAATTGGTACCAAACAGAAAGCAGTGTGAAAAAGAGGAGAGACGAGTTTTACCCAGGTTTTGTAGGAAACAACAGTGAGAGGAAAACATCATTCCTACAAAATAAAAGATTCCCTTCGTTTTACTTTCTATCTTTTCACTTTTCTTTCTTACCAGGCAAAACCTATGAATATGAAAATAGAGGATACTGTAAGGAGAGAAACTAAAGGGAAAAGTGGATATAATGCATACTACAAAAAATTAACCTATCCATTTGTAAGGAAAATATAGAGAATTCCCATAAAAGCATAGATCCACAGTGTCAACTATATGACAGAAAAATATAATTATATTACACACTAGCACGTATTAGGTAATGCAAGCATATGCTTAGAAACCATCTAAAGCCAATTATAGTTCTTAGTTAATGTTGCTACTGGCTAAGCACAGATCATGCTATGTTTATCTCACTCCCCTAGCAATACAGGAAATAAAGATTTAACCACAGAATAAACACCTCAGTTGAAACTCATACCTCCCAGCTTCCGCTGAAAGCACACCTTTGGAGTCGAGTCAGTGCACCAGCTAGAGTGGGATTACGGGAGCTGGCAGCAGCAACCATTTTATCTGCATCTAACATCATTAATGCAGTACCAGGAGGTGTTGCAGATTCCCAAGCATATTCTGAAGCAGCATAATTAGCATTTTCCCCAAGGAACCACACCTGACAGCTTCTCACTTTAGCATAGCAGTGACTGAAAATGCAAGCATAATTCTATTGAATAACAATCCTTACAGCTGCTTGGACTAATCTCTGTAATGCCAGAGCTGACTTTGGATCAGATGCAGATACCCTGTCTACTGATGTAAATCCTGACATTGATCCAGGCTGTGGTGGTGGGAGGTCAAGAACAATAGTGACTGCTTCCAATGCTGTATGTTTCCCATCAGGACCAGCTCCAACAAGACATGTCTAATAATATAGCAATAATTCAATCAATCAATACTATGTTTCATTGTCCCCAATTATATAATATTTTAACTATAAATAGGTAAAGTGGGTGAACACTAAATCAATGCATATTATTGTAACTTAACATAAAATTACCTACAAGCATACAAACAAATCTATTACATACTTAAAAGGAAGCCCCGAAGCGGCTTCCTCATTTTGCCACGTGTCAGCATCCACAGTGTTGGGTTGTGATTGGACAGTGTTGTTCACTCGCCTGGAACATGATGTGAGCTTTTTATCTGTTTTTTTTTATTTTTTTAATACTCTGGTAAGTGATTGGCTGTCTTTTGCTGCATAAAAAAGTGAGGGTTGATCTATTCTCTCAATACTCACACACAAATTTACTGTGTGCATTATTGTCCCCTTTAGGGAATATATATATATATATATTTCTTATAAACTAAAAATATAAAAAAATATATTTGGGTGGATATTCGGGATTTCATCCAAGTTTGAAGTGAAACAAATTTTTAACTTTTAATAAGACATGATAGGAATCACAAAGTGGATTAATTCTAAATAATTATAAAGGCATAAGATAAAATAGTATTAATTAAAATTGAAGATTACTTAGAAAATTTCATCATTAAAACTAAAATAATTTTAATAAGTGTAATTAATATTCATTTTATTTTGACTTTCAAAAAATATTCATTTTATTTTAATAATTTTATTGTATCAATTATGTAGCTTATCAATAATTACTTTTAAAATATTATATTTTCTCAATATGAATTTGATTTTGCTATTAGAACCATGTAATTAACAAAATATGATTATATCAAAATTAGCATATATTAAGATATAAAAAATCAAATGTTTTCAAAAAAATTATTTAAATAAAAAATTTTGCTTAGTAAGACATGAGAAAATATTTTTAAAATAATGATTTTTTAAAATATTTATCTTTAATTTATCATTATTACTATTATTTATAATGTTTTTAAATTTAAAATTATGTCTCTTTAATTATTATTATTATTATTTATAATATTATGTAATTTAAAATTATTTTTAATAAAAAATTGTGGGGCACCACTCTAGTACATAGAAGATGATAAACTTAAATGTAAAAAGGACAGACAGCTAGAAGCAGGTAGCTGAATAATATGTGCAAAGTATATGATTAACCTACAAAAAAGAGTAAATTTCATGCATTGTTTCTAAAGTTTGCCTCAAATATTCTTTTCGTTCCACCAATTTTGAACGTCACATTTACGTTCTCAAACTTCTAATTTGTATAAAAAAAACTCCCTCCATCTATCTAACTGCTTACTCCTTCCTGCCAGCTAGAAGTTACATCTAAGCAACACGTGTCTACCAATTGGTGAGTTCATGGTTTATTTAACAGTAAGTTAACAGAAGATGTTTCCGATAAGAATTAAAAGTTTGAGAATAGAATGTGCTATTATAAACTATTAGAATGAATATGATATTTGGGTTGAGCTTTAGGGACAACGGGAGCAATTTACTCTACAAAAAGTAAAGGCAGATAAAGCAACAGGTTAAAATTTATTATAGAAGAGAATTAAAAGGAAACTTACTTTCCAAAGAAGTTGTAAAACATCGGCGTCGATCTTCCCTGGAACTTTAGTAGCAAAGATCCTTGCAAGTTCTAAAAGAGTGACAGCCATATCTGGTGTTGCCTGATAAAGAAGTGAAATAAATCAATAAATGTTCTAGGGGCAGAGCCATATCTAGCATCATCATATCATGTTTCTGCATTCGCACCAAACCTAAATGAGCTCAAAGTTTTAGGGACACAGCACCATGTATATATGCACCAATAAAATCAATTGTTGATTATGGAACAGGTGGTAACACTCTTCCGGCCACATCCACCTCTACCCAAAGCCTAGTGTCAAATGTAGGACCTAAAACTCTTTCAATGGAGGTAACACCTAGAAACATGATACCCTAAAATCCAATGTTAGTCCATAACATCCAACAAGATTCCCTAATGGTATCAAGGGATTTAAAGTTATACCTTTTTAAGTGATTAAAGTACAGATGTGATCCCCGTACTAATGAAATCAGGTAGTTGGGTCCCTTGCCTTATATTTCAATAAATTAAGTCCATGTATCTCTGTTAAGTGTTGATTTTGGTCACTCTATAAATAAGCACCATTAAATTGATGACGGAACAGTTAAACTGATGAGAACCATCAAATTAATGATGTTACAAGTTACATGGCATTTTTTGGACAACTAAAAACATGAAATATCAATTAAAAAGAATTTTTTTCAATAAAAAACACTACAAATGAATTTGTCGACAATTGGAATTATGTGTCACATTCCAAATGGTAAAAAGACTATCATGTAACTTGTCACATTAGAATAAAGTAGCCATGTCACCAAATTTATAGTCCATGTCATCAATTCAATGGTTCACATCATCAATTTAAAGGTGCTTACTGATAAGGGACTAAACCAACATTTAATAAAAATACAAAGACTTACTTTGTTAAAATCAAAGAAGAGGGACCAAAATCTACAATTTGATAAGTACGGGCACCAAATCAATAATTAACCCTTTTAAACCTTTGGCTTATGTGAGACCAATGGCAAAGAAATATTCACCAGGCTAGTCATCTCACATGATTTTATTTTCTTTTTAATTAATTTTATTCAACCTACCATATTATTTGAAGAAGAGATATCTCCGGGGTTATCATTTGACATATTTGGAGCCTATTTAGTTTTAAAAAATCTTTCCATTTTCCATCTCCATTTTTGCTCTAAACATTATAGATGACATAAGGCAAGTATTTCAATTTTGGAAAACTAGAAATCAAAAGTTTCCAAACTTAGTTAAACTAGTTGAAAACAATTTAAAACAGTTCTCCACTTTTCTGGAAATCAAAAAGGGTGTCCAAACTTAGTTATTTGGTTATTCATTGATCATATACAGACTAAGAAACAAAAATTCAAACTAAACAAGAACTTGGATTTTAGGATTTATCTTTTTATAAATAACAAGATTATTGTAATAGAATCTTATATCTTCAAGTCTTTTAGAATCGACTGCATTTTGTACCCAAGAGGAATTTTCTTTTGCTCCATCCCACTCTCTACTACAATTAATTTCAAAGACAAAGGGATTCCATTACTTTCCATCAAAGTAGACTACAAAGTCTCAAAAAAGATATTGGAATTTCTATTAACATTTCTACGGACTAGAAGAATTTCATCCATCATTTCTATGGACTCAAATTCTTGAAAATTCTATGTGATGATTTAAAATGAAAATTGTGGTAATCAAAATATATAGAACACTAATCAAGAAGCTGAACAAGATGATTTTGTACATCCAAATGTTCCACCAATCTGCAATAACTACTATAACGATGATGATGTACATTAAGTGATTATTAAATTGCACATGATTCTGAAGTATTGAGGAATGATAAAGATCAAGTTTTTGCCTGAAACCCAAATCCTTTTGCTTCTTTAATTACAGGAGGTCTTGAATTTGATCCTACATGGAAGGTGCTTTCTCAGTAGAGAAGCAATGCATTGACTTTTCCTAAAGATTGTATAACATTACCATAGTGTATATTGATATGTGTATTAACGCATGTTTCTTACCAGTCAATCTATAAATAAATAAGTCTGACATGCATGCTCAGTAATTTAAGATTAATCACAACAAGGTCAATACAAATGCCAATTTGTTTGGGATAACAGAAGTGAGATGATTGCTCAGCTACCTTGTTGCTTGAGAATGAACATTCACCAATACAAATATAACCTATGTACAGTCTTAAATCTAGATATTTCAATTTCTTTAAGTCATTATAACTTGACTTTGTCAAGGTCAGGGTTAACTATTACATCAGATGTTCACAACATTTTAGAATTTACCTTCTTTAAACAGTAGTTATTACACTATTGAAATAAACTCAGATTTTGATTATCCAAAGATTACTCATCTGCTTCCAAGTTCTGTTAACTAAACTACCTGTAGCCTTTCAACTGATTTGGGTTTTGAAACTAGCATTTTGAAACAATCAACTACCATCTTCTACATCATATCATATTTCAACACAGTGTCTCTAAAGTCATAATCCCAATCTTTGTAAACAAGTCAGAAAACGCTCTTCAGTATGCTGGAACAGCCTCGCACCATAGATCCCTACCAGCCTTATTTAAACAAAATCAAGCACCTTTGCCCCGGAATTTTAACACTAAGAACTTTAGGTATTTTCTATCCTCTTTCCAAAAAAAGACCTCTCCAGAAATTAACCTGAAACACCTTTTCTCCACTGAAAGTGACTGCAGCAATGTGCTCCATATTACAACTTCCAACTTTTTGCTGTCAATCCAATTAACAAACCCATTCAAATTCGCAATTGTAAACCATTTCTTTTACACCTCCAAAACCATTTTTTGTCCATTTTTTTCCAAAAGCTAGACTACCACACGCATCTCCTGTGTGATTTATTGTATATTCCTTGCCCCATAACCTTTTGGCTTCTTTTAAATTGACTTTTACTTATTGTATATACCTTAGATTGCATTTGGTTCTTTACAGCTCCAAAACCTAGAAATCATTTCTTTCTAATTTTCTCTGAAGGCTTGAGCACTACACAGCCATTTTGTGTTAATAATTTCAACACATTAGGATCAATGACCCTTTAGCTTCTTTATATTAACTTTTATTCACAATATTTTGACACATTTTAGGGGCTTAAGTAGCTAGATCTTTCAGATTTTTGGTTTAGATTTTAGCATTTTTGGTGTTTTTCTAGTTTGAGTTTGATTACTTGTTAAGTGATTAATTTGATTATTTTAGTTAAATTTTATGTTATTTTGTTTTAAATTACTTTAAGAGTAGTTATTGCTAATTTCTCTTATGACTTTTGTAGGAAATTGATGAAAAAAGCTCATTTGATGAAAATCAGTGCAAGTATGGTGATGGCTTCATTTATATATGTTTTGGTATTTTGACCATATCTCTCTCTACAAAACTCTATATGAGGTGATTCTTGGACCACTAGAATTCTAAGAAGAAGGGCTACAACATTTATGTTTACCAATTCACCCAGTTCTGACCGGATTGTGGTCAAAATATTTGTTTAATTTGGAGCATTGAAGCAGTACTCATGGACTGAACATGATGCAGTATTTGGAGCATATCTTTCACTCTTGAAGTCCAATTGACATAATTCTTAAGCCATTAGAAAGCTAAGAGATAGGACTACAACTTTTATGTTTACCACCTTTCCCAGTTTGCAACAGATCATGGTGAAAATCATGTTTGAAGTTGATAGACCGCTACAGCACTGTGAGAACAAGGTTGCAATGCTGGTGAAAGGAAGCTCACGATATGAACTTCCAGAGAGCTTAGCGCTGCAGCGCTAGAGAAGTAGCGCCGTGGCGCTAGGTGATTTTCCAAAAAAAAAAAAAAA